AAATCGAAATGGATGAAAGATCTAAATATTAAAACAGAAAGGCTGAACCAGCTGGAACAGAGTTTTGGTAGAACTCTTGAAAACATTGGTGTAGGAAAAGATTTTATGAACAAAACCTCAGTTGCCTATGAACTAGCACAAACAATCAACAAGTGGGATCTCTTCTTATTAAAAAGCTTCTGCACAGCAAGAAAAACCACTAGCAGTGTGGGAAGAAATTTTCACCTGCTGTTCCTCAGACAAATATCTACTATCTAGAATCTATAAAGAACTTTAAAAAATCAGACCCCGCAAATTTAAAGACCCAATCTGAAAATGAGCATCTGAAATGAACAGACATTTCTCAGACAAAGAAGTAGAAATAGCAAATAAATACAAGAAAAAATGTTCAACATCACTGGCCATTCGAGAGATCCAAATGAAACCCGTGTTGAGATTCCACCTCAGCCCGGAAAGAATGGATGCTATCATGAAATGAACCAATAACAAATGCTGGTGGGGCTGTGGGGAAAGAGGAACCCTGCTCCACTGTTGGTGGGAGTGTAGACTGGTGCAACCACTGTGGAAATCAGTATGAAGATACCTCAAAAAAACTGGGACTGGAAGTCCCATTTGACCCAGCTATTCCCCTGCTGGGGATCTTCCCCAAAGATTTAAATGAATCATACCACAGTGATATATGTGCACCCATGTTCATAGCAGCACAATTTGTAATAGCTAAAACTTGGAAGCAGCCCAATTGCCCACCAACTGGAGACCGGATAAAGAAAAATGTGTTTTTTTAATAAAATGGAGTACTATTCAGCCATAAAAAATGAGAAATTACAGACATTTATAGCTAAATGGATGCACATTGAGGCGATACTCTAAAGTGAAATAAATAGGACACACATGTGTAAATACTAAATAGTTTCTCTAGTGTGAGAAACTGAAAGTGTAAATAAGGACTAAAAGGTTATAATAGGTTATGTGAAATTGGAAGAAAATGGGCAAATGGGAAGGGGAAGTGGGAGGGGTGGGGGAAAGGAAAGTAGGGAATGCAATTAATATGAGAAAATGGAAAAATGGAAACAAAGTCTTGGTAAACAGGGAGGGATCGAAGGGGTGAAGGGAGGGCAGGGGAAGGGGGAAAAAATAAGATCCAAGATACACCATGTACAGGTACAAGCATTCAATGATAAATGTAAATGTACTGTATACCTAAAATGTATCAATAAAAGAATTTAAGGAAAAAAAATTAATAAACAAAAGTCAATTGTATTTCTATGTAGAAACAATGAACAATCCAAAAAGAAAATTAATAATCTATCTAGAACAGCAACAAAAAGTACAAAAATACTTAGGGATAAACCTGATGGAGTCAAAAGACTTAAACACTGAAAAGTACAAAACGATGCTGAAATATATTAAAGAAGACACAAGTGGAAAAACATGCTGTGTTTAGGTATTGGAAGACTTAATATTAAAAATGTCTCTACTATTCAAAAACAATCTACAGATTCAGTGCAGTCTCTGTCAATATATTAAATGCATTTTTTTCCAGAAATAGACAATATAATCCTGAATTTCATACAGGTGACAAAGAACTACAAATAGCCAAATAATCTAGAGAAAGAAAAAAAATGTTAGAGGACTCACATTACTGATTACAAGACTTATTATAAAGCTACAGAATAAAAAAAAAAAAGCATGGTACTATCTTAAAACAGAGCAATGGAAGAGAACAGAGAACCCCAGAAAATCTCGTGTATGTATGGTCATATAATCTTCAACAAGGATGTCTGTCAATGGTATACAATGGGAAAAATACCGTATCTTCAACAAATAGTGGTTAGGAAACTGTTTACACATATACAAAAGAACAAAAGTGATCCATATATTACACCACACACATGCACAAATACACATATGCACACAATGAAAAATGGATTAAAGACCTAAATATTGAAGACTTGACGCTACAAATTCCTAGAACTCTGTAACATTGAGGTTGACAATGACTTCTGGAGAGGCCACAAAAAACAGATTCAATGAAATCAAAGACAGTTGGAACTGCATTAAACTAAAAAGTTTCTACATGGAAAGAAATCAACAGTTTTCTGAAATGGTAACCTGGGAAATGGAAGAAAATATTTCCATTATACATGATAAGCATCAATACTCAGTAACAGAAGGAACAACTACACTTCAACTGCAAAGAAAACAAGCAAGCTGTTTAAAAAAGCAAAGAATGTGAATAGAAATTTCTCTAAAGACAAATGACCAACATGACTAATTACAAAAAAATACAAATGTGGCATTCTATATAAATAAATTTATGTAAATAAATTGTGATATTTCCCATCCCTGGTATAATGCCTAACACCCAGGAAGAGGATGGGGGAGACTATAAAAATTATCAAGATTTAATATGTATATCCTCAAGATGAATGTAATTATTATGTATCATGAACATATAGTACTAAAAAAATACCTACCTGACACCTGTAACTTTAAGGAGAAAGTTTTATTTTGCCTCACATTTGAGCATTCAATCCATGGCCAGCTGGTTCCAAGGAAGAAACAGCTTAGCTCATGGTGTCCAGGAAGCAAAGCAGGAGAACAGTGCCAGGGAGGAAGGGGAACCAAGACACAGTGCCCAGGATCATGCCTCCATGACCCACCCACACCTGGAAATGTGCTTTACTAATTCCTGGGGCAGCTCCCAAGCCAATCAGGTTAATGATACAGGTTAACTGTCTCAAAAATATAACACACATACTTGGACTCCATACTCATTTCCTGGCACATGCTCCTACAACCTCTGGAAACTCCAGACTGATAGAAGTGCCTTTTACATGGTGATGGGAAGACTGGTGGCAGGTGATCCCTAGACAGCTTCAGGACAAAGACTGGTAGCCAGAAAGACCAAATCAGGATTTAGAGCCCCAAACCCCAATCCCCAACCCCCTAACTCACCAACCAGATCAATCACTCTCACATAATGAAGCCTCCATAAAAACCCAGAGGGGCTGGGTTCGTAAGAGCATTTGGAGAGCTGAACAGATGGAGGAGCCTGGAGCGAGGTGCACCTGGAGAGGGCATGAAAGCTCCATGTCCTCCTCTCATATCCTGCCCTGTGTATCTCTTCCATCTGGCATTCATCTGTATCCTTTGTAGTATCATTTCTAATAAATGGGTAAATATAGCTAAAACATGTTCCTGAATTCTGTGAGCCACTCCGAGACAGTGATGATGGGGCCATGAGCACTCCTGATTTACAGCTATTGGTCAGTGGGACAGGTGACAATCTACTACTTGTGACTGGCATCTGAAGTGGGTGACAGTCTTTTGGGACTGCAGCCCAAACTGTGGTGTCTGAAACTGTCTCAATGCCAATGTTGTCGGAATTTAGGTGACTTAGAAGACACCCAGCTGGTGTCTGCTGGAGAATCGGGGATCACAGAAGAATTCTGTATTAGGTGTGAGAGTCTGCAATGGGAAAAATAGTTTGGGCTATTCTTATTTATAATAACAATTGAAAACTATAATTAACTATCACCTCATAAATGTTAGCATGGCTATTACAAAGAAACAACAAATAACAAGTGCTGATTAAGACCTGGGGATTAGAATCTTTATGTACTCTAGTTGAGATGTCAAAGAATGCTGTGACTGGAAAATTGCACAGGGTTCTGCACGAAGCAGGAGTGTATGATTTAGCAATCAGACTTTCTGGTATTTATCTAAAATAAATAAATATTATATCATAAAGAGATAGTTGCACTCCGTGTACATTGCAGCATTATTCACAATAATCAAAGAGGTAGAAACAACCTAAATTTCCATGACGGATGGTTGGATTAAAAATTGCGGCACATACACATAAAGCCATATTACGCAGCATTAAAAAGAGAGGCTATTCTGAAATTATGCTACAACACAGATGACCTTTGAGGACATTATGTGACTTGAGATAAGCCAGTCAAGGAAGGACAAATTTTGCATGATTCTTCTTACACAAATTATCGAAGTCAGCCAAACTTATAGAAGCAAACTAGAGTGGTAGTTGCAGGGGCTGAAGAGGGTGCAATTAGAGAACTGCTATTCGGTGGGCGTAGCGTTTCCCTTATACAGTTCTCACCCAGGTCTGTTGTATAACATTATGCTTACAGTTAACAATGTTGTACCGTACATATAAAAATATAAGATGGTAGATCTCATGTTATCTTTTCTTTTTTAACCACAATTAAAAAAACAACAACAACATATTTCCTCAGACACCACTGAGGGCAGTGTTGTTATTGCCTGGCTTATCAAGTGTGCTGAAATCATGCTAGGCTGTCCTTGGAAGTGAGGTACTCTTTCCAGTCAAGAATCTAGTCAACATACAACTTTTCTATCTTTTTTTTTTTGGTACCGGGGACCGAACTTGGGTCCTTACGCTTGAGCAGCAGGCGCCGAAACCACTGAGCTAAATCCCTGGCAACAACTTTTTTATCTTAACCCACACAGAGCTAGAAAAGACTACCCCCTTCAGAGAACCAGAACCTATCACATGAACCCCCACAGATTTCCAGAGTCTGAGACTAGAAAGAAAGGATCCTGATAGGCTTAAGTAAAAATGTTTTAGGGCTCAAAAGAAAATGCACCTTTGGGTAGGACCGAAATTAAGATAGTTAAATAACATAGTGTGAAGGCTGTAACTAATCTAGTGTAAATATTTATGGAAACAGGTGTTGCTATGGGGCTGCATCTGTGCAGACCGTTTGAGGTCTAACTTACCCTCTTATGTTCAACAGTTCTAAATGAACAGTTCAAACACAGCTCATCCATTCCTCTGACCGAGTGTGCACTGTGTACACATGGGTAACTGAACAAAACCTTGTCAACACAAAATAAACACACACGATGAACCTGAGGAGTCTTGTGGGTGTTTGATGTAAATTTTTGTACAGAGGATTTTAGGGGTACTCTCATAAAGTTCTGTGGGCTTTATTTTCTATCCATTGTACTTTTACCTTTTGCAAGTAAAGAACTGTTCCCTTCAGGACAGCATAAAAGGTTTTCCATCCTCGTTTTCCTCTTGGAGCTGGAGGGAAAAAAATGTAAAGTTTTATTTGAAAGAAATCAGCATTTTAGAAAAGAGACACTAAAACATAACATGATGATCGTGTTTCAGCATTCCCATCTTATTAGCTACCAAAATGAATAATGATGAGAAGTAAAACTTTCTTGAGCTTTATGGTGTACCAGTTAGTACACTTCCTATATATTGTCTTACTTCTTCCTCATATACTCTTGCCAGGTAGGTATTATGGCTCTCTCTTTTTATAAATCTAAAGCACAGAGAAATAATCTGCTCATAGTCACACAACTAGCAAGAGGAAAAGCTGGAAACGGAAGCTAGGCAGCATAGGTCTACACTTTGCCTGCCAGTAGAGATGATTTATAGCCTAGGAAACCAAAAGAGCCTGACTGAAGCTTAAAGACTAGATTATGAGCCGACCATTCATCCTCTCTTGGCATTTCTCCTCTCCCCACATAGATGATAGCCTTAACTGCTGTCACTCCTGGGCAGATCTGTGCTGCAGATCTTGCTACAATGCAGTTTTTTGTCTAAGCTTCTTTCACTACCCTGTGAATGGCTTGAGAGCAGATAGTGCTTTTTGGAGTCCACAGAGCCTAAGGCAAGGCAGACATTAAGCACCACTACAGTTACTATCCAAATTAATTTCTTTAGAAATGTTTATGTTTTCTTGTTTAGTTTTTGGAGTATAAAGTACAATATCTCTATCTACTTAAATAAACTTTTACAAATTGTCCTAGCAAAACCATACACTGGCAAAACAGTTTTCTGCTTAGCCTTAATGCTAATAGAATTAAAACCTGTAGCTGGATAATGTTATCGCCTATGTCATTTTTCTAAACATCTTAGTCCAAATAGATAGGGAAGACCATGTGTTCATATTCCTTTTCAAATATTTTATGGTCTTTGGGACATTTAACTTGGAAATCTTATTTGTTCAGTAAGTAGATTCATATGCAAATCATTTAAATCTCATTTGACTGAACATTTGGAATTCTTAGGCTTGGAAACGAGGTGACTATCCACCTACAGAACTCCAGTGCTCCTGCCAACACCACACTGAGCTATCCACCTGGCGAGAAAGGCCTCATAACATCCGCTCTGCAGGTTTTCAGGGGAAATTAAAAAATACCATCCCTTCTGTTTCCACTAGAGGAGGTTTAAAAGCATGTACTTGAAAATAAATGATCAAAATAAGCATATCATAATCTCCTTTTTAAAGAAGACCAGAGACTGATATAAAACAGAACCACAGATCAAACAAAATAAACATTTACTACACTGTTCATCAGATGACAAATTCTGACACTGGTTGCAGAAGAACTCAGCACACAGAAGTGGCCTGGAGCTGTGGGACCTGCCAGAGAGCAGGGTCAGAGGCACCAGGGCTCAGCGGCAGAGGCAGCAGCAGAGGAAAAGCAGACTAGCTGGTTTCTAGCCCCCTCTAGACTTTATCTCGCCTTACACCTATCCTTGCACCCAACCCTAACTCGGAAACTGCTGCCCAGTCTCTCAACGCTTCAAGACTTCCGCTGCTTTAAAATACAGGTCATCTATACAACTTAAGGCACAGCACTGGCTAAATGGTGGAAGGAACTTATGAGAAAACCTTTTTTTCTGTCTTTCTTTTAATGGGATTAAAGGCTTTCCTTGAAGCCCTACAGCTAGTTTAGTAGGATCTTGAGACCCTTTCAGTTCATAGATGTACAAATTTATTTTTCAGCTTTCAAGTGAAGTCAGTCCACGGACTCATGTAAATGCTTTGCTATTACCACACTAAGTCTACTAGAAACAGATTCTTCCAAAGAGCTCTCCAGGTGAGATGTGATCTTAAGCATCATTCTTGAGTTACTGATACTAAGTCACCCTCCACTGCATCATTACTGACCCATCTTTCACAGAACAGTAGGACTTAATCTGTCTAAATTACAATTTAGTTGTTTAAGACATGAATGAAGCTGTACACAACTCTCTCAACACGACAATTTAGAAGAAAATGCTCATCAGTATATTGCTAGTGTGCTATAATAACAGTGTTCTGAGCGTCTGACATGTGACAATCTACCTAACTCACATCATCATCCTAAGAATAAGGCACTATTATTACTTCCACTTTGTACAAAAGTGTGGTTGCAAACAAACGGAATTCAGGAAAAGGGACACTGTGCACTACAGGAGGCTGGGAGGGCACTCTAGTCATAGACTTTACTGCTCTGACTTTAAAATCCACACCCAGCATTTGTAATTTAAAGGGTCCTTAGACTATGGGTTGTGAAATGAGTAGAAATTGAGGGCACAATATATGTGTTGTTACATATCTAAAACAGGGTAAACAATCACTGCAGTTGTATAATGAACACAGGAGAGGAAGGAGGGAAAGGATTACCAATCTAAAACTCAGGGTTTCTGAACAAAAGGAGAGAAGTGGTAGGGAGTTGGCATACAGACTTATTTTAACAAATATCTAGGTATCTACTAGGAGAGGGCGTTTACCAAAATTAATTAAAATATACCATTTTTAATGTCTAGATCATGCTTTCATAGCAGTTCTTAATATGTGTATTCAAGTCCAAAGATCCCTAACTGCTTTCCTTTCTGAAAACAAAAGGGTCTTGGAATGTGTTAATTCTAATCATCTGCCATCATCTTTATGTGAAAACGGTGTCTATTAATTTAGCTTTAAAAAAATCTACTGAAATAGACATCATTTTCTTTAAAAAAATAAACTGTTATTGTTCTGTTTAAGATTTATCCTCATGTTTACTTTTATCTTTATTCATCACTTCTTTCCACACTTCAGATTGTTCTAGGGTGCCCCTTTAAATTGCTTCTTGAAGTCTATCCTTAGAAGTTTCTTTAGTCAAAGTCTTTTGCTAATAATGTAAGAAGCAGCTTAACTAGTTTATAAGAAAGGAGCTAGTAAGGCACAGAACCTAAGATATAATTTGCTGGTGAGTGTTACAAAGAACATAACACGTACACTGGGTTCAAGCTATATGTATTGCTAGGCTCAGGAATATAAAACCAAACATATACTAATAAAATAAAAAAATAAAAAGCAAACACCGGAAAAGAATAGGAGCTAAGACTCTGATCTGGAAAGCAGTTCCTTAAGTAACTGGAATGCATGGAGTAAAATGTAACCAGTTCTCTTTGAAGTCTACATTAGAAAGCCTGAGCCTAACTGGATATTTTAAACCCAAGGAGACACATGTGGTAGGTAACCACTGGACAAGTGAGCAAATTCCCTCTCTGCTTATCTATGAAAGACCTAGGCAAGGAGTCCACACTGGCAGCTCACTTTGAGGGCCTCCTCCAGACTACCCTCCTAGAGCTTTCTTTCTTATACTTCCAATAAACACTTCCCCTTTCACTGCCTTCCCTTCTGTCCATGATTTCATTCTTCAACTTCATGAGATAATGGACTCAGTCTTTATGGTGTCAGCTGTTTCAGTAACTTTGTTTTCTATTTTTGTTTATGAAAAATGGTCTTCATTTCATAAAAATATTGCAAGTTGTAGATTACTTTTCCTTACGAAGATACATTTCACTTTCCTGACTCTGCAGGAATGTCTACTCTGAAGCTAAAAGGTAGGTCTAGAGATGAGATTCTTTTAGTTTAACATGCGGTTGCTCTTTTTACTTTCTGTGTATTATTACAGATATCCTGAAGTCATTGCATCTTTGAATATTGTCTTGTCCTCCATTGTCTCCATTACCTTAACACTCCAAACACCCCATCCTGACTTCTTCCTTCCTTCCATGTGTGTCTTAACTAACTCTTCATATTCTTCACCTCTTTGTCCTTTGGAGCTCAAAGATGTGCAATTTTATCCTCAGTACATCTGGTACCCCCAGATCCAGAAATGCCTTGTAGGGTTAGAGTCCTGGCCTTAGCTTATCTCCCTAGAGTTGGGCACTCATGCCTTATTCCTGGCCTCCTTAGACTTGCCTTTGATTGTTATGGGTTAATCCAGTTATTTAAAAAGTGTTTAAAAATATCTTGTCTATTACTTTTAGATGTTTTTTAATGGGAGAGTTCAGAATCTGCAGGCCATCGTATTGTGAAAAGTACACTCTTTGGTTCCTTTTCTTTTTTTTCTAAGAATTTATTCATGAACTTTGCAATCCAGAATGAATTCATTTTGAGCAGGACACAAAAAATATTGGGGATGAGGTCAGGGAAAAATCAGAGCAAGGGAATCAGTGAGGAGGTTACTGCAAGAGCCCAGATAGGGAGAAGGGGCCAAACACAAATAGACATGTACAATGAATTAAGATTTTTTAAAAAGTGGAAGGAGAAAAGGTAATAAATTTGAGCATCTATATTGCAATGTTGTATCCACTGGGCTAGCATTATGCTCATTCAATGTGTGATCCAAAAAACATCTCTCAGGTAGGTATTGCCTGGATTCCATATTAACATCTCCATAATTAATTACATTTGCAGTCCTCAAAGGTAAGCTGCCAAGGAGGCTGTCCAACTAAAGATTTCAAAGCTATCATACAGGACAGCTAAACTGAGGAAACACATTCTGAGGAGACATCAAGGTAGGGAAGCCATCAGGTGGCAATCCTTTGGAATGCTCAGATCTGTTGTTCCTGTGAGGTGGACACTGAGACAGGAAAGTAGATGATGAGAGAGGAGTACTAATATGGGACTTCCTCTAATCTCTTAATGCTAAAGCCTTCACTGCTCATAGCTACAAATCTTAGAAGAGAAATACAACACTGTATCTTTCCTCTGTGGTGTTGCTAGTCTAGCAGTTTTGCAGAATGATAATAAAGTTAATGGCATCAATAATTATGGGACTAATAACAGTAGCAGTTAATATTTACTGAGCACATATTATTTTAGTTCCAGGACTTGACATGTACAAATTAAAGCCCACACATCTGAGGGTACCACAGTCACAATCTTCATCATAATCTGAGATTCCACCTGACATGTAGCACTTGGTTTCCCATAGCGGTAGGCATTTGTGCTCTGGTCTGTGTACAGG